ATTCTGGTGAAGACATTGAAAGGGCAATAAAGGATATAGCAGGAACGCACGTTGCTCACCTAGAACCAAATAGAAATTAGCGTTAGTATAGTTGTAACTGTTTTTTTTTTTTATAACAAAATAACACTGATAAATCTAAAACATTCACCATGTTGAATGGCACGATTCGAATACCATCATTCATCACTATCACATGATTTCACAGACACGCATGTCCGTGAAATCATGTGATAGTGTTGAATAGCAGTTCGAGTGGCATTCGAATCGTGCCATTCAACACAGCGAATGTTTTAAATTTTACCAGTGTAGGTAATAAATGTACATATCAAACAACGCAGGTGATAGCAATTCAACACTAGGAACAATAGCGGGAATTCTAAACTGGCACGAGTGGTCTTGGCCCAATAATGAAGCCGAAATAGAATATATTTATGCAATGTCTTTGCCTGGAATTGGCTCATGGAAAAAATTCACGCCTGCAAATATACAAAAAAATTGTGAAAAAGTGTGTTATCAAAAAACCTGAACCTAGCGTTACTACACATAGTCATCCAAGCAAATCATGGACTACACCAATGCCAAAAATTCAAGGTCATAAAATCAAAAATTCAAGGTCATAAAAATTTATTATTTGGGTATCATGGGGTATACTGTTTTGCAAAGCTTATATTATCCGAAGAAATGGTATTAGGCTTGTCAATTATTTGGCTTAGATTAATCGATATCGGCTTGCATAAAGCTGATGTTGAAGTTAAAGAATTAGAAGTGTATTTTTGTTAGAATATAAGAAGAATTATAGGCAAAAGTTTAAGATAGAAAATTTTTTGAGTATCAAACCTGGCATTTTTAGATACGGCTTTTTTTTTATTTATATTCAGTTTTTTTATTTACGAATTACTTCTGTTTCATTTAGGGTAAAACCTCCATAAGTGCAACTTATAGACCGAATTTTAATATGTGCACTTAGAGAACAAGAAAAGTGCATTTATCGAAATTATATATATATGCTTCAAGGGAAATGGAATTTCAAACCTAATTATATTTTGTATCGGGTATAATGAGTATACATTATGGCAAAAATTTTTGAATATGGTTCAACCAGGCAATGAATATATGCCGCAAAGTGGCACATGTCAGTCAATCATTTGCCTGGTTGAGCCAATTTACCGTTATCTGACAATTTATGGTAGGGAGTTGTTGGCTGAGTTTTAATTCGAGTAAACGTGATTATTTTGTAACACATGAAAAAAATAACTAAAAGAAATAAATTTATGATCATCTATTTATTAGGGAATCGTATCCGGTTCGAAACTGAAGGTCCATTTTCTTTTGACAGCACCCGTATTTGGGGCCAGAATTTGTGTATTTAGAGAAGTGCACTTATTGAGAATGCACTTA